ACCCGTGGCTTTGATTTGCCAGCAACACAATGAGCCATAAATAACATCAGAAAATTCCAGTTTGCTTCTGGCTTGCTTTTTTTTTCCCCTCCAATTGACATTTCAGAGTTTGAAGGACCAGAAGGCAAGACTTATGCTCTTCACCTCCAGAATCAACTCAACATACCTCTACCACTTCCCTAGAGATCTTTTGCATATATGTAACTAAGTACAAGATTAGCTCTACTACAGGACTGCTTGCTCAGCAGTGCTCCGTTTTGGGCTAGGTAGCTTTTAAATTAGAAGTAATGATTTTAAGTTCATTTTGGTGGCTTTTGTGGGGCCTGTGTTAACCCCATGAAGGCTAACGTGCTCTTCAAAACACACCTGGAGACCCTTTCCTACTCCAGAGGAAAAGGACTTACAGCCTCTTCAATCTTCTAGTTAACAGAAGAAAGAGCAACACAAATCTACACCTCTGAAACATCACCACATGCCTGAAAGAGATGTCATGGTACAGTTTTGCCCTTTTAATTAATCTAGCTGTTTCAATCCCTGCATTTTGGATTGAAGGTTTGGGGAGGTTTAGCTTGGTTTTGGCATGCTATCATTGCACCACCATTACTCCCACCTCCAAAACATGACTGAGATGAATGAGGTGCAGCCTTAATCCAAATCAAACCTTCGTTGGCCTCACTAAAGACAAAACTTCATACCAATGCCACTGTAGTATTTGCTTAAGTTTACAAGCTTCCTGAACTCTTGATGGGGTCTGTCACTTGGGCATGGCGTACAAGGCATTTTTGCTTGGCACAACCCTCCTCAGGGCAGCCGGCTTCAACGCACACCTGGATTCCCACTCTGCCCCACACTGGCCAGCCACATTTCAGATCAGAAACCTTTTCAAATGTGCCTGGTACATCTCTGAACATGACAGCGAGATGCAGTTTGAAACCAAAAAAGGGTTATCATGTAATTCTCTTTTAACTCATGTCTCTCATAAAGGAAAATGAAACGAAACCAAACCAAAACAAAAAAAAAGAAGAAAAGAAAAGAAGGGTTGGAATCAGGTGTGGGAGGGGGAATGGCGTAACATTTATTAATCAAAATTAAAAACTAAGCATGCTGACATCTGGAGCTAGAACAACCAGCAAAGTCACCACGTTCAGACTCATATTGGCTAGTTCTATCCATCCCAGCATTCTCTTGGGACAGCAGTTCGCCCTAGGCTCTACCACAAGCTCAGTGAAGTACACAGCCTCAAGTACTAGAGCGTGCAGCCACAACAACCTGCTATTACGGAAACAGTCAGTCACCACTGGAGTTAACATTCCAACCTTAACGACTCCCGCAGCCTCCCGCCCTCGCCCCCCAAAATGGCTCCCACCCTAGCCCTGTCCCACACCACAATGTTAATAATTATAACAAGCAATAACCCATCTGTTATATCAGAGAAGGGAACAGAGACTCCACTGAGAGATTTAGAGCGGGATGTTAACATTTCTTCAGTCAACTGCACAACAAACAAAAAAAACAGGAGAAATAATTCATTGGAGAAATGAAGTTAAGAAATAGCTGACATGTGTATTGCTTTTTAACCATGCACTGATGCAAAATTGAAGCTACTGTTAATTTAAAAAAAAAAAAAAAAAAAAAAAAAAGAAGTCACAGGATAGAGGTACACACGCACGGGCAGACCCGCTTAGTTCAACGCGGTCTGCAAATTCTACTTGTGTGTACTTCAAATAAAACCAAAAATGGGGATTATAATGGCCATGGTACGTTCCTGTCATAGGAGCAATGAGTGTGGACAGCTGGGGGATTTCTGACACGGGGATGTATTTAGCATGACCAGCAGGTCCAAATACACCAAAACAGGGTGAAGAAAAGAGGAGGAAAGTTGCAACTATTACTCATTACTTCGTAAATGCTTTCACCAAGCTCTGTGACCAGTACAGAGCACAGGAGACACTGTGCAGGTTGCCTTACTCAGCTGATGCTCCTGTTCTCCATAACCCAGGACCCACCTATAACTCCATCAATGCATCTAAAGCCCTGCTCAGCTTGTCCAATGCATCAGTTATTTTCTCCTGCTATTCCTGTTCACACACAACTTTAACTGGTATGCAGAGCTCATCCATAACTTCAGCTACATGGTCCTACCACCCCTAGTGATTTCTGATGCCACTCACTTTGGGTACTCTAGTAAATATAAACTGTAACAGAGTAGAGCATCTTCAACAAACATGGACAATCGTGTTTCCCAATAAAAGAAATAATAATAATAATAAAAAAAATAAAGCCCTTGCTAGCTGCTCCACGGTCCTCCAGTGCCACAGCAAACTGCAACAGAAGACACCATTGAGTGGTGTAGTCCCTGAAACCCAGGACAGCCATGCAAACCCCCACTCCATCTATTTAAGTGAAGTGATTCCACAGGGACAGGTTTACCCATTTAGGTTCAGCTTTCAAAAATCTTTAGCCTCATCTCAAAATAAATGAGTGTGGCTGAGCTTCTTGCAAAGATGTTAAGTCAGAGACATTTCTATCAAAGGGACAGTTTAAACGCTGCCTCGACAAGGAAACAGGGGAACTAAGGAAAAGGCTTACACATTTTTAGTGGGTAGTAAGTAACAACCGAAAGGACTGTCTAAATCAAGATTGGTCCCTTCCGGTACAGTCTTTTGGATTGTCTGGGGAGCGTGCGAGAGAGATGAACACAACCCTAAATGTTGGTTATCTTAATTCAAGTTCTCTTTCTCTGGATAGCCTGCCAGTGTTGCTGGGGCTGTGCTAAACCCCTTTCCCCATGTGAATGTGTAGCGCTTGAGCCTACAGATGTTAATTGTCAGACAATCATATTTGCTCAGTTATTCACAAAAGCCCAAGTTTAAAATTACTTTTCTGTGATGTTATCGTCCTCGGCTCATCAATGAAGCAAGAAAATATTTTTTTAAACTCCTTCTTTAACATTAGATGATAGCTTTTTCAATATTGTCATATATTCTCTGAAATAACACAAACATGGCAAAACAACTTACACAGGAAGCTGCAATCCTAAATAAAGCAGCATTCCAATTACTGAGCATGTTAATGTAGATAAATGACCACTTTAAGACTATACAGTTCAGCTCAAAGTAAGCCCATCTTCTCTTCCACTCTTCAGGTCCATATTAGGTGATCAATCCAATGAGAACATGAGGAAATGCAACACTACTGCTTACTATGTCAGTGTATCCTATGGTATAAGCCTCCCTTTTCTTTTTCCCTTGCTGCCTGAGACAGGCGCACAAAGTGTGTTGCTGGCCCTCTTTACTCCAAAGAGCCTTTATGCCACTAAGACACAAGCATTCCCATAACCCTGGAGAAATGTGTAACTCATGGTACCAGTTAGATAATGTTTGACCACCTGCCAGGTTTAGGCAGCGAGCCCAATTTTAGGATCTTTTATTCGTTGTGTCTCAAATGTGTCTTCTCCACCCACAAACTATGCCCTATAACAGAAGTTAAGAAGCAGAAAGTGCTAGAACTGTTTCCAGTATTTCTGTATTAGAAGGGTGGCATACGTGCACCAGGAATGAGCATGAATGAATTAAAAGAGGTGACAGGACAACGGTGTCCATTGCAGCAGGTGCTTCTACATGGTAATGGGACAAGCATGACCTTGTTAACCCTTCCACTGAATTTACATTAGTATTTTTTTTTGGAATGAAATGCTACTCGGTGTGAAATCTGGACACACGCCGCCCTGCCATAGCGGGGGCTCGGATCACACGTGAGTCTGCGCTGCCCTAAAAAAGCCTCTGTTCCCATCTCTAATGTGGTGCTGGAATGGTTAGTATAATTCAGTTTTTTCCACTGCAATCCACAATCTGATCGGTTGGCAGGTCACACTGGCACTCCTACCTGAGGTATTTTAGCGCTAATGATTGGTTCCTGTAAGACTATTCTATAACAGAACACAGGAAGAGCAGTTCAAAAAAACACAGCTGTGGAAAGAAACAATCATACAAACAGCCCGCGGCGGGGCTCACCAGCCTTTTCTTTCCAGTGGATGCAAGCACGCTTTTCACAGGCAGGAGCAGTCTTCGCATGGGTGGGTTTGTTTGGGTTTCCCCCCCGCCGCCCAGATTGACCCCATTTGTAGAAGAAAGATAACCTTTCTTAGGATCCAAAATGAAGCCCTCTGCATCCTGGGGCAGGTTGTTTTATGAGTTCAGGTGTCTTGCCAGAGTGGGACGCATCCAACAAGAGATGGAATGCCTTCTTCACAGAAGAAATGGCTAGCAGGATGGTTGCCCCAGGAAAGAAAAAAGGAGTGAGGAAGAGGAGGAGGAGGAAAATGAGAAATCGGTGCATAACATGTATGCAGAAAAAGCAGCCCGAACTTGGGACACTTCCCCTTCATCTTGCCTGCTGCTAACTACTCCCTGCCAGATCAGCTCCTTTCCACCCTTTCCTGACACAACCTTAGGGATTCAGAAGACCTAAGGGAACCTCAATTTAACCTTCCACCCAGTCCTAACTGAAGCACCCTCTGCCATCCCCTCCACAATCTGAACAAGCCTTTCACAGCAACCAGAGAGACATAAGCACTGCAGTGAAAAGCACAACAGATCAGTGGGGCACAGGGACACTGTAATCATTCCACCTGTGCCAAGCAAATTGTTTGGAAGGGTAAATTCACATTTGAATTATGTTAACTTTTTCCTGAGCTCCATTGGAGGGCTCTGGGCAGCAGTAACATAGGAAAAAGCACCACCATCTACCTTGCTGAGTCCCCTCTTCTATCGTCCTGCTTTCTGACAGTGAGGCCAGACCCACCAACAGCAAAGTTGTCAGAAGTCCACCTAATGGTCCTAACCTGATGTGGGAGCTTGGTTTTGTGTTACGTGATGCTACTGCACTGCAGCACCAAGTGCTTACAGGGATTCTTCATTAGTGAAGTCTCTGTCCTTAAAACATGTTAAATAAGCCTCTCCTCCCCACCTGCAATGGAAGCTCTGAAGGAGCTTTCTCAAAAGAAATAGGAAGTAACCCTGGCCAGTCTTCCTTTTCAACATGACAGCCTCTTATGTGTCATAATCTGAGGGAAGGGGCATTAAGCACTGCTCATTTGCTTGCTTAACTGCCGTAGCAAACTCAGCAGTCTGCAAAGATGGTGTTTTAGGAGTGAGGCAGGAAAACCCAGAACCCTGTATAGTCCTTGCCACAGTTTTATAAAGGAACACTTGACTAGGCAGATCAATTTTTAGAGGACTGCGCGCACGATAGTATATGTAAGAATGAAGAAATACACCCAGTATCTCTATGCTCAAAGAGCATGTCTTCCAACTGCTGTAACTGTGTTGGGAAAAGTGCCTTTACGAGACTTGACCCTCCATATAAGCCAACAAAATCCAAAGGCCAATTCCATCCACTATCTTGAGCCTAACCCCAGGGTCCTCTTTATAAATGTCAGGTGTAGCACCTTCAAAGGAGCAGGGGTGTGAAATCCATGCAGATGACTGCACCGCTACTCAATACAAAACTGCCCCAGCTCCAAAGAGCCGTTACTTACAGTACCACAAAAGGGAACTCTGCTAGAGTTAGGCAGGCCACAAGTTGCGATGGCAGCAGCAGACCTGAACGTTTTGGCTTTGGAAGGCATATTCCTACCACAGCTGCTCTGCAACAGTTCCCCATCGGAAAGCTTTTCTCACTGGCCAGTCAGAATCCCTCCATCCATGACCCACCTACGTATACACAGATGCCCTGGAGAATTGCAGTACAGACTGGCTGGGTAGGACGAAGACAATGACAGGACAAAGCCTCCTGTGCTATCAGAGCTAATTCCCAGATGTGGGAGGCTGCTGACTCTTCTAACTGAACATCTCCACATATTTGTTCTTTACAATTCCCCAAGGAGGCGAGAGAATCTAGCCTATTTAGGCACCATTTCTACCAGCGAAATGAGATGTCAGTTTTCACTCTAGCATCTCGGTCTCCATTTTTAATCAGTGCCAGTGTCTTCCCCAAAGGGATAATCTCCACATCCCAGTGGCACATGAACATTTTTAAACATACAGCTTGCTCAGTTTAGTGTGGGCTGCACAAATCAAACCTGAAAGGGCCCCAAGAGGGGAGAGAAAGGGGAGGGTGGAGGGGGAGAAGGAAAGGGAAGGTCTGAGGCTAAACCAGTCCTGTTATTTTTATATCCAAATTATGTAAACGAGAGAAGTGTTGAGAGAAATCTTAATTTGCTAATCATCTCTCAGGCTGATTAGTAGCAGTGTGCATGTGGGGGACAGGACACCCAGTAAACTGACCCTGGCAATGATCAGGAAACCCAAAGGCTTAGCTCTTGCACCCAGGGGCAAGCGCAGTGACAGAGAAGCATGCTTGCATTCCTAAATATATAAATATATATATCCACAAGGAAGAAGAAAATTAAAGTAAATGATATTTAAAAAAACAAACCAAACCAAACAAACAAACCAAAAGAAAGGAAAAAAAAAAAAAAAAAAAAAAAGGCTGGCTTGTCAGGGGTTGGGGACAAGAAGGCTCCGGTGTGTGTACTTACATAGAGGTCAGCACCGTAAAATCCGTCCTGGTAAACCACACTGCAGAAAATCCACACAAAAACAAAAAAACAAAAAACAAAAAACAAAAGAACAGAAAACACATTCCGGTTATTGAGGACGGCAGCATGCACATGCGTTTTACACAGGCAGGTGATGTATGAATCCACAACCTGGGCTTTTGGCAGGAGCAAATCAGCAAGAGAATGTGTGTGCGCACGCACGCTAGACGGCTCCAAGTCATCTTCCATGGCATGCAAAGGGGGAAGGGGCGGGCAGAAGGGGAGACAGTATGCAAAGGAGAGAGGGAGGGGAACCACCATCTTGTACAATAAAAATAGACTCAATAAGATCTGATGTCCTGAAGAAGAGAAAGAAGGGTTTAGAAACCTCCACTCTGGTTATTCTCCTGGGATGATTTTAGTTAGCCCCTAAACACATGGAAACGTTGGCTTCATGAAGTGGGCGTGTGAAATCGAGGAGCCCCTCAGAAGGCATCCCACAGGGGCTGGAGTCACCTATGTCAGAAGCACGTTTCAGAGAGTTGTGTATGATTACGTATTTCGAGCTTCACAGGGCTGCATGACTTTGTTTCTGACATCCATACATCACCTGCTTTTACCCTGCACATTAGACATGCGATAAGATTTGGCTGATCACACAAGCATGCAAAGTATTATTATTCAGCATCTTAAAGAACCAATGCAACACCTCAGGAAAACAAGTCAATCAATTCTGATCAAAGTAAACACAGAGAAATGTAATTAAAAAGAAAAAACCAAAAATACCCACAATGCATTGCTTTCACAAGCAGAGATAATGAGCTAAAAAGGTTAGGTGACTGGTCCAAGGTCCAAGAATTGAAAGGTGCAGTGGGAGTCCCTGGTAGTAACGACCTATTCTGTAGCAGAGAGGAGCAACTGGAAGGGTTTCCATGGGATGGTGCTTTTTCTGCTTTAAGCCATAGTTTTCTTTCTCTCAGAACTTCAAGCAGGAAAACCGTTAAACCAGAGCCTGGGGTTCCCAAAGAGCCACTCTTACCAGAGCATTCGCTAGCGTAAGACTACGCAGCTCGCTCTGGGGACAGGGGTCGGGAAGGATGAGGAAGGAAGAGAGGGGATGCCCCCCACCCATTTGAGTTCAGCATATGCTTCATAATGAGGCATTTCCTCCTGCTTTGTACTCTGAATAGCTCCGCACAAACTCACTCAAGGCTTTAAAAAACATCAGCCCCGCCATCTGTGATGTTCATGGATCTGATATGCATGACTTACCAGTAGCATTAAGGAAAAAAAAGGTATGGAACACTAGCTTTTCTTTTGATTATCGTTTTTTTACTCAGATGGAATGTGAAATAATGCCAAGAGCCTGCCAACCTCAGACACCCACCTATTGTAAGGCACGCACACACAAAAAAAGCCCAGCAGATCTTGCCAAAATTCTGCATGCTATTACTAAAAAATAAAATTAAATTAAAAAAACCAAAATCTGTTGCAGTGTTAGCTACTGCTTGAATAATTTAGTCTTGCTGTCTTCCCCAGGAAAAGTACACTCCATTCCCAATGGACAGAGTTACTACGGTCTCCAAGAGCGTTGGGAGCAGATATGAAGATAGAGACCCTTGTTAGAGGAAGAGGGGAGCCACTTCAGCAGGGAGAAGCAGGCCATAAGATAATTTTTGTTGAAGCTAAATTTTTACAACCACATAACAAAGAATTTGGCTCCCAGGGCAGTGACTTACATTGCTGGGTTCTCTATCTAGGACCAGGAGCGTTTTAGCAGTGATACTCCACCTGCTCCTGCAGGAAAGGCAAATGCATGACAGAGGAAGTGACTGTTGGTTTATGAACAGGTTAGCAGTTTTAACAGTTATTCCGAACACAATCAGTTGGATGAATATAAGCATTACCACATTGGATCAGGCCACTATTCCTGTAACTTAGGATCCTGTCAGCAAGAGATGCTAGCATCAGCTCTCCAGAGCAAACTGCAAGGAACACTAATAACAGGTAAGAGTAAGACTTCCTGAATCTAAACAACAAAGCACACGTGGATCGTCCATCTCTCCTTCAGTTAGCACTTAAATGACACCAACTGCCAGGGCTGAAATTTAGCAAGGTTTATTTATATGCTAGAATATCCATATTTGTGATTCTTAATGCTAGCAAAAACTGAGAGAATTTCTTCATTTGAGAACCAGACAGACCATTCTGGTTATGTAGACTGACCAGAAGCATAAAGCAGTCCAGCAGCCCATCAAATCTCAGTGGCATCTGCAAAAAGCCCACTAGCTGAGCTAAAACACATCCACGAGAAAAAGAAATACGCTGGTTTTGTAAAGCAGCCATCATATCATTTAGGTGTACCAACAGTTGACTTTGTTTTAAAAGGAACCAAAAAAACACTCCAAATCCCCAAAGCTCCCTACTGCCTTCTATCTAGTCTGACTTCTACCTACTTTTGGCTTCGAATCAGTGAATCCTCTACATATTTACACTCCTAGATGAAATTATTCTTTACTGTGGCAAGCCTACTCTTTATATAGGTACTTAATGACCATGAACGAGTCAATGCTTAACCTATAGTTTGAGAAATAAAATTGATCAAGCTTATTTAGTTTTGAGTTTTACAGTAGGCAAGGGGTTTTTTTTCCAGACTGACTTAATTCTTACAGCTTTTGGTCTGAAGTGTCATTTGTCAGCATTCTTGTTTAGAAAGCATGGCTGCTACAAATCAGGGCAATATTCCAGTACAGCTTTTACTCATGCTATATATCAGAGGTTATAAGGTCTCCTTATTTCTGTTGAATACCTCCTAGGTTATAAACTGAAGATTGCATTTTTATTCTGAGGTCAGGCTCAGGTGACTATCCAACGGTCTGAGCAATTGCTTTCTAAGGCATGAATAGCCTTCCCTGGATAAATGTCCATGTGCATGCGTAAGTGTGTACATTCCACATAGGCATTAGTGGAGTCTGAGTTTGAGTTCCTGAAATAAATGTTAAAACTATTAAGAGCGATATGATTTCTTGCACCTTCTTCTGGAGTATCTAGCACTAGACACTGTCAAAGCTTACTCTAACCTGAATGGCCCTCAGGTCTGATCCAGTATGGCAATTCCAATGAATTTTATTAATCTACGTTCTGTATTTTTTGAATTCTGCTAAGCTCTCAAATGCAGTGATACCGTTACGTTTTGTAACTTAAAACTTAAACACTGCTGAGGTTTGTGAAAACCAATTACTTCTACCAGGTGTGAGTTAACCTGCAGTTTACTGTCTCCTTCCACATTACTCACTATATCTTGATCACTCATGTATTGCTGACCAATCTTACAGTGTCATCTTTCCACTGGCCAGGAAGAAAGCAACTGATGCAGGGTAAGGTGTCAGGAATGTGTGCCTGCCCCTGGCTCCATGGAGGTCAACAGTGCCCGCACGGAGCGGCGGCTGTCCTACAGGTTACTGCAACATGGAACTGAACAGCACGTTTTGTATTATTTCACAAGGAATCAAACTCCCTCTACAAAGTCTCTTGTAGAGATTCAGACTATCATGATAGTCAAACACCAGAATTAATCACATCCCAGTGCTTGGGACTAGGGACAGTTCTGGGCCATTTGTGACCCTGCCTTGTTTACTGCTGCCCTGCAAATGTTTACTGGGTAGTATGCTGCCCATGAAGACATGGAATCAGTCAGCAGCGTCAGACAAACTCAACATAACATAAGTAAACACAGTCATGAGACAGTATTTGGAAGGGATAATCACTGGAGCCTGGCCCATATTCTAAATGGAAATAAACCTTTCATATGGGACTCGGGCTGGATTTATATCAAAAAAAAGCCTAGAGCCCCTCCCAGTGCACCACTCGTGACAGCCTCTTGCTAGGAATGCTCCAGCTGTTACTCCCAGGGATGAAGAGCACATCCCCCCTCCCCGGTGCAAGTATTTCATATTCTGCTAGACAGCAGCACTTAGCTCAGCTTTGCTTCTCTGTTTCACTGTGGAGCATTTCCTAATAAAACCAGACTGAGTCATTTTTAGAGCAACAGACCGACAAGTTGCAGGTCAGAGGCTATGGTTAGAGGATACAGAGTATGAACTAGGAGCAGTGGCAAAAGGAGGTGGATCTGAAAACCCAGAAGAAACACTGTTCAGGAGGCCAACATGTTCAGACAAGAGGTTTTGTTTAAAGTCTTCTGGTGAATTAAATACAAACATTGCCAGATTTCCCAGAGAGCAAAGCTAGACAGATACACGAGTACTGCAGCTTGCTTCCTTAAGCTTCATTTTAAATATCAGACTAGACTCTAAAAAGAAAGGGCCACAGTAGCTCTCACCACTTAATCTGCTACAGAAGGCACTGCAAGCTTATCCAGTATATATCAGGCCAGCTCCTTGCACTGATGTATGTGGCTTCTGCCTCCCTTCTTAATAAAAGATTTCTAATTTATTTTCTTCCATTTTGGGGCTATTCTAAAGGAAAAAAGGGTCAGTCCACTTCTCTGTGTTGGAGGATTCATTCCTACTCCTATTCTGAGAAGTTTCCTGGAAAATATGGCAAGTAAAATTCCAGCAACAGGCAATATGCATAAAGCATCCTCAAAATCATTAACAAAAAAGACAGTTTGGAAGGGATTTACCGATTTATCTGTTGTTCCATCGCACTTAAACAAACAAAAACCCAAACCAAAACTCACATACAAACCTAGTGCCCTGTATTTTTAAACAGACCACTCTTTTGTAACAGCATCTGTTCCACTGCATTACTAGTGAAAAGTCAGAGGGCAAAGAATGCTAAGGCCACGCATTCACCATTGCTTCACGTAACAGTTAGAAGAACGCTGCACTTTCGTTCTCCCTATATCCCAAACACTCCCAACTTTAAATTAATGGACTTGATTAATCTTTGTTTTAAACCTTTTTAAACCGTCTCCAACAAAGAAAGCAAATCCATTGTGGGTAACTGGCTCTTCTGTGTCCTACTGCCAGATGGTGAGGCATGAAGGTAATGGATAATATTCCTCATTCCTGGATATGAAAACACAAATGGAATGCAAAGAGCAGAACCTTTTTGGAAATTTTAGACCTTCTCTCTTTGCGTCCTTCTCAGCAGCGCTATAGCATATATAGATCAATGGGTGACGAAGACCACACAGACAATTTGAGAAATTGTAAGAAGGAATCCATCAGCGCTTTACGCTGTTGCAAGTACTGAAAATTGTTTCAGTCAAGAACTTAACGTGGAAAAATTTAGATTTCCCCCACTGGATGCCATAGTGTGCAGAATGCTCTGGCACTAGCAATATCCTGACTCTCACCATCCAGACAATTCTAGTTATTTTTTGGTTAACCAATCAGCTATTTGACACGGTTGTGCAGAGCACTCTGCTCTCGTGACCAATGCTTACCCTGGGTAGGCAGGGATGGCTGTGGGAGGTACTGCCCGAACTGCCCCATACACTGTCCTTCCTCGGCCCCTCAGATGGGCTCCCCGAAACGCGGCTGCTGTGGTGGCTGCAGTTGGATAGGGGAAGCCTGGAACTGTAAAGACAGACAAGGTGGAGGGTGAAAAGGATCCGAGCTCCTGCCCAGAGAACAACCGTCTGCTTCAAACAAAGTGACACAATAGCTCCACAGCGGTGGGACATTTTGCATCAATCCTGCAGAGGGGCATGCTTATAACCCAGCAAGCATCAGATACATACTTCCTGCTACACCATGGCCTTTGGGGGAACAGGGGTTGCAGAGAGGTTTGGCATGCAAGAGGTTAATGCTTTGGCATGCCTCACCCACCACAAACAGGGTACAAATCCCCCCGCCTTTTGACACCGCCATGCAGTCTGGTTAGAGTCCGAGAAGCGCAGAGAGTTACTATCAATATAGCAGGCGGCTCTTCCAAAACTGCAGAGGCTCTTTAAAATAATTTGTCAAGAGGCCCTTAAAGTCAACCAACTTACATCAGTCTCTTCCCTCCTTTCCCCTCCCACTCTTTGCCACCCAATCCTCTGTATGTTCATTTTAAAGCCTGAAAGACAAGATAGCCCATATAACAGCAGCAGAGATTTCCCATAGTGCCAGTTTACTGAGAGCCCACCTTCATTTAACAAGCATGACCAATAACTGGCTCCATATATAGTGGGGCCTGCTTTATTACGCTTTACACTGGAGTAAACTGGCTCATGATGAAGTCATGTAAAACCTCAGGAGGCATCTGCAAACACGTAATAAACAGATACCGAGAGGGAAGGAGTCCCAGGGCGCAAACCCAACCCAATGTGTGTCCAGGTGCATGCCACTGGGGGCCCTGCAGACTTGCAGTTTAGCAGCTTGTATAATATGTACTTTAGGGATTTGTCTGTTTGGTTTCTCTGATTGCAAAAGGGGGAGGGGGGGCAAGGGAATGGCCTGTTCCTCACACACACCCTCCCCTTGTTCTGCAGCTTCCTCATCACTCAGAAAGACCCATTCACCAGTACAGAAACACACTGCAGATGAACAAGTTACAGCCACTGCACAGTATACTTTGGCTCAAGGTAAACTCATTCCCAGCGAGACCCATCCTTTCAAGTATATATTATACAGACTGGAGAGGAGAAGGTAACAGGTCATCATTAACTCAAGCACAGTAACAATACAGGGGCCAACGGGGGCTACTTACTGATTAAAGGAATGTAAGTGTTAATACCCCCCCTTCCTGACAGGGGCACTGCGGCGTCATTGCCCAGCGAGACATCTGCTTGAAAGCTGGACGCTAATTTAATTTTAAAAAGAATAAAAAAGAAAAAAAAAAAAAAAAACACAAACGTAAAAAGGTTATAAAGAAACAGCAGATTGAGAACATAAACAAACACCACTGCAGTTAAATGGCAGAAGTGGAAGTGTCTACTTAAGCTCTACCTGCATATAACTCAGGGCCGTACACCGCTCCAACCACAGGACTCAACTTCCAACCTGAAACAACAAAGACTGCAGTGAATGCCAAAATCTACACCAAGAGAAGGAGCGGGCAGCGTGGGTAGGGGGAACGGTCTCTTGCGTGCGCCCCAGCTTCACATGCACAGCTCTTTCCAATTTCTGCTTCGCCTCAATCCCCCTTGGTGTAGATGGAGGCCAACTGCCTTTTTCTAATGTCAAGTTCTAGGTACAGGTCGCTGTATCAGAGGGAACAGCAAAACATCAGCTGATCTGCAGCACGGCAGAGGCGCCGCTGAGGGAATGCCAACTACCTTATATGCATATTCGCCACAAGCACCGTGCGACCCTGCGTTCCCTGCATGAACCTTGCTGCCAGCTCCTCCAGCTCCTCTCTGCTTTCACCGGGAACGCTGCAGATCCAAAACCTCTCTAAAGCCACTGGCCCAGACTGTCATCCCGGGCAAGTCAATTTATAGCCTTAAATTCTCAAAACACCCTTCTGTCTTACTTGCTAGAGATCTGCTAAAAAACAACAGTGTCTGAATTTTCTCACTAACTGAATTACACGACTACGGTGCAGAAAAGCAATTCAGCCTATTCAGCTCACATTTTCTCCTCTCTGTATTATTTTAGTATTTCCTGTCTTCTTTATGCTGCTTTTCAGGTGAAAGCTTTCCCAGAGAATTGATTTTAGTATCATCTGGATAACTGGCAAGAACTGCAAATCATCAACATAGAACCTACAAGAAAATAGTGCCTAAGGAAGTCATCGCTGGGGTATGAGGAGGAACACATTTCCCAGTCAGATCTAGAAATGTATCTGTCGTCACCCCCCACCTTTCTATCTGGGGAGAGAAGCAAACGGTGTAAAGCTAACATCATCATCTGGGCTGGCTTCCGCAAAGCACTCCTTTCAGGAAAGATCTCAGCTGTTCAGCTAGCAATCACACAGGTATTTTTATTTACATAAATCCATACCCTTCCTCTGCCTTGGAGTCCTGATGCACTTACTGCACTTGAACACCTCTAACGAGCCTAGAAACCGTATGAACAACTTTGTGAACCACAGCCCATCAACACCACCCCTTCATCTGCTGGCAGAGTATGAACGAGAGATGCAATGCACGCTCCCTCTGCAAAACTGGGTGTGCTGCTGCTGCGCTGCCCACCTTGATGGCAAAATACACGAGTGAGTGGTGGCAATGAGAGGACTGGGATCAACCCTCAAATTTAGTAACAGTCGTATGACCACTCGTCAGCATGCCTTAAGCCTGGCCTAATACTTCACACCTTTGCGTAGCTTTAAAGCTGGCTTTTAAGTTGATGGTTGCAAAAGCAAAATATTCCTGCCCATTATCAGGGTTTCACAAGTAAGCCAAGTTTTGTTACTAAATAGTCACATGCATTTTCTGCCCCTGTTTTCAGGACAACATAACATGGCTGCATTGCCTTTTACTACAACATCTCCTGGTTCCTTTCAGACACTGAGACTCAAAATCCCAGCCTTTCTGCCTGCCCCTGTTTCCCCAGTTCAGTAACCAAAAAAAAGATTTACTTGCCAAGAGCCACACAACAAGTCAGTAGCAGAGCCACAAATAAAATTCCTATCTTCTGACTTCTGAGACTTACGTTGTAATCAAAACAGATTCTCACACTAGCAACTACCTATATGCAGCCTCCTGCCTTGTTGAAGCTCTTTGCAAACATTTTCAGACCAAAAAGAATTTTTCTGCCTGTTTCAGCACAAAGACTCAGATTCAAAATCTGTATCAAAGCAGCATTCAGTTCTGTTGGGGGAAGAACGACTTTTTATGCTATATATGCCTATGCGATAAAATTACTGCATAGACAGAAGAACCAAGATACCCTGATGAAACAGGATTCTTCATCACCCAAACAACTTGGTCTTTCTCTATTCAGGTTCACTGGAAAATGACTGCACAGAGGCACAGTCTGTAACAAAAAGTGAGCAAACAAGCAGTGCAATGCCTCTGTTTTCCCGGCTGCTTGGGGACAGCTGTACTTTTACAGAATGTAAACTGGGACATATCCAATTATGTATCCTAAGTTGTGCTTCTGCATTCATATTTAGGTATCTACATGATGGCAATGAGACTCAGGAGTACTGCACGTCCCACTGTACAGCATCAGCTTGCTGTAGTGGCAGGAAACCCATCGGTCCTTGGCTTCTTTTCCTAGCTTGGCCACTTTGGGCACGTCACTACTCCTCTGTCCCCACTTCTCCATCTGTAACACAGTATTCCTCCATAAATGCTTAGAAATTCTACTGAAGAGTAATGCTATAAATTAGGGTTTGTGCAGTTTTTGTTTATTTCTTTTTTTTTGTTGTTGTTGTTGTTGTTTGGGGTTTTTTTTTTTTATCCTGAGGAGAGGCCATGACTTTTCCCTCACCAGGAAGCTTTTGCCTTCCCTCAAACCTTTCAGCTCGTCATTAGTACAGTCTCTCTTACCATTTGCGTAAGGTGTGACCATCTTCTTATTGGTCATCACTCGCGCTGTGGCGTTGTTAACCTAAAAGTAAGAAAGGGGAGGGGGGGAGAGGGAAGGAAGCATAGGACATTAGGGAAAACAATGGAAAACTCTCAGATAACACAAACACACTACACTTCTCTGAGCAAAAAAAAATTAAACAACTAATTTTACAAGAATGCAATCTTTAAATTACTTTTAACGGTTGCCATTTAATTATAAAAGTTACAGCTAAATGTGGCACTTTAAAATTATGCATTAAACAAAAGGCCAACGAGAGTAAAGGGCAGATTCTCCGCCACCCTGCCACCCCTTGGCACGTGCTTATTTTCAGCTCATTGATCAAAAGGGCAAAACTTTGGAGGTTTTCTCCAGGTTCTGTCCGAGAGGCAGCAATAACTTCTGCAGCCCAGGGCAGGGGAACTGAACCAGGTGATGCACAAGCTGACTTGTTTCTCAAGCTCGCTGCTGGGATTGGGGCCCAGCAGGTCGCTGGCAGGCATACATTTTAGATAGAAAAATGTAACCTGGAGTCCATCAGCTTTAGATTTGAACTCCCAAGGCTTGAGGGGATTTCTGGAACACCACCAAGCGTCTGGATGGTCTACGTTCACCAATGTCCTCCCCATCATTTTCAAATCTTTTTCCAGGTTATTTTTTCCTTGTCACAAATCTCATGGGGCAAAAAGAGGAAATACATAGCAGTTAGACCTGGGTCTTTTTTTTTGTTGTTTTATTGTGCCCTCCACCCTCTTTACAGAGCTCTGCATAGTTCCAAGCAGTTTGGTTGCTCAAGCAAGTGGGGTGTTACCACAGAGATGGTGCTGATAAAGAAAAGATGGACCAGTTTGGAAGCCAAGTTACTGCAGCCCTGTGTCAGACAGCCTCAAAGTTCTTGCAAGGAGGGTGAAGTCTTTATACAACATCAATATTTTACCAAAACCCATGCCAAATGGGAATTGAGGCCAGGGTGAAGAAGAAAAAAAAAAAAAAAAAAGATATAAAAATAAAAGCTGCTTCGGGCCCTTGAGACTTAGGGATGGTAAGCGTACACAGGGTGGGGAGTCTGGAGCTACATTTACTCTCGTTTCAGCCCCAAAACAATAGAAACATTACACATTTAAAAAGAAAGAATGGGAAACAACAATGATGAGACTGAGAGCATGCAGTTAAACACACACAGATAAAAGAAAGAAAGAAAAAAAAAAAAAAAGAACCCACAATTGATTTGGAGGGTGGGGAGGAGGGAGTAGATAGGGTCTCACAGACAATCATTAAGATGGAGCGAGTGCCTGAAATCAGCTGCTACAGCAAAGTGCAACACAAGCACTTAAAGGAAAAATTGCCAGAACCGATCAGAAACCACCAGTCAGCAGAGACCAACAGCTGCATTTAACCGAGTAAAGAAATAAATGGGGTGGGGGGTGTGTGGGGGAAGAGAAAAGAAACAGTAACAGCTACAAACAGGTCTCAGAAAGAGAGAGCAGCAGAAAGAAGGGGCAGGGGAGAGAGAAAATGGGTGCATTAATAAAAACCAGCCAAACTGGAGTTCAGTAACTCTGAGTAAGATGTGCAAGGGGAAATCACCATGAAGTCAGTAATCAAACAGCTCAGACTGCTACAAAACGATATGTACATCCAAAATCCAGGCGGCATTACTCAACAGCATTGAAAATAAAAGGGGGAGAAGGGGGAAGGAGGTGGGTGGGGACAACAAGTCAAATCACATTTCGTAGTGTTAATGTGAGATGGCAGATGGATTTTTTCTTTCTTATTTAATTTCGGTTTTTTTGTAATTTTAAGAAAAATTAAAAAAAAAAAAAGCTTCTTCTCTAGTGCTTTTGTTTCACTTACCGCCAACTCGTACCATCGCCAGCATTGTGTATAGTTACCATGGAAAG